CTCTCTTCTTCTTCTTCTCTCTCTCTCTCTCTCTCTCTCTCTCTCTCTCTCTCTCTCTCGCTGTCTCTCTCTCTCTCTCCCTGTGCCTCTCTGTCTCTATCTATCCTTTTCTTTGCCCTTCTCACTCGCTCTTATCTCTCCTATCCCTCCCCTCTCCCTCTCCCTTTTACTATCTCTCTCTCTCTCAGCAACAGTTGGGCGGATCGAAGGAAAATTGCGCGGGCGTCGGTATAAACAGGCGGCGAGGTTAGTTGTCTTCTTGCCAATCCCCCGTGCATCGCAAGACATCACGCCCCCTCCCCCTCCTCCCCCTCCGCCGTCCGCCCTCTCTCGGCGCGAGCACACATACTCCTAGATCCGCGTGTATTGAAACTTCTAACATGCTTCACCGATGTCCAGATAATGCCACGGGATTAGCTCCTTAGCGCGATCACGCGCGTGAGCATGCGTTCCTACAGGCGGCATGACGTGCCCATGCACTTCAATGCAATCTCTCACGCTCAACCCAACAACCAGTTACAACCAGCGAATTCACACAGGATTCGGGCATGGTAAAGGCAGAAGGCGCCTAACTCGGTTAAAGCTCGGTCGCACTTTCGGCAGTTCCAAGAAAGCTGAAATTTATCTCACGCTCAAAAAATAATACTGGAGCCAGTCGCACCGATCGACATTACGCAACTGATTACGTCTCTAACCTTATATCAACACGACAAGACACTCGGTTATCATGCAAATTAGATTTCACAAATACGCGTTATTTTCAAACACTCCTCATCATGTATCTATCTTCGTGGTTTTTACGTTCATTCATTGCACCCATTCTGTAAGGTTCATTCGCGTTGTTCATGCTTGTTCGTTAATTCATTTCGCGATTTTAAATATAGACGTGCACCTTGAACACACTCACCTTCTCTGTAAGGGCCAGGTAAGCATGGAAGAAAACAAAGAGTCAGGATTAGTAATGTTACTTAAAATCTTTAACTAGTTATGTCAGCGACTTACCTATAGTGATTCAATTTCCAAACACAGCATGGCCGAACCGGAAACAAAGAAAAAAACACAAGGAAATTAGTATGATTGTCGAACCACACTTGCAAGTCTACGAAAATACCGCGAATAAACTATAAATAATGAATATACTATAAACGCGAAATAAACCACAAATGGGAATGGCAACAACGACACGACCAATCATGTAATGTCACAGATTCGCGGGAAAACAAACCAACCACGCCATGACTCAATGAAAAAAAACGCAGTGCTATACGCTCGTTCCTATGTATATATGTGTATCCACGCGTGTTTGTATCGTACTATATGTCACTGCGTGCGTGCGTGCGTACGAGCGTGAGTGCGTGCAGCTATATATGATACCCTGATAAATGGCCTCCTAGCGGCCGGCGATCCCATCAGAGCAGATAGCGCCAGCAGCGCAACGGGAAGTCATTTGTCTTTACGAGTGTTTGTCTGTGTACTTGAGCTGGCGCAGATCAGGGTGTCGCGCAGGGCAAACAGCGGGGGCGCTCTCTCACATCGCCCGCCTACGTACGCCGGGTCAACCCGGCAACTCGCAAAGTTTGCAAGAATGCCATTAATGCGTTAGGTAAGCGGCGGTGACAGCCTGGGCTCGGCCGCCATGTGTCGGTGGTAAACCTACACACACACACACACACACACACACACACACACACACACACACACACACACACACACACACGCACGCACGCGGACGCACCACGAGGAGCACCAGGGCGGCCCACACCCACACACAAGCACACACACGCCCAGCAACACACCGACACGCCCACACCTAGACACGACACACGACACACAACACACACACGACGCACGCGGCCGCGCCGCGGCACACACACACGCACACCACCGACGCAGCGCGCACGCACGCACGCGCAGAGCGACGCACGCACGCACGCACGCACGCACACACACCACAACACACACACACACACACACACACACACACACACGGCTACGCGCCACCTCTCTCCGAGCTCACAGTGCACACGCACCGACAACTACGCGCACACACGTGCACGCGAGCACTCACGCGCACGCACGCGCACGCACGCACGCACGCACGCACGCACGCACACGAGCCTACGTGTCGAAGTTTTGTTTGCGTACACGCGTCTGCGTTCGTGCACACAACATCTCAAGTAAGGCAATGATTTCCATGAGCGCGTGCAAGGACCAAGTGCGTGTTATGCGTGTACACTGCTACTACACACGATTACATTTGCCTTATGTTGGGATGCGTAGAGAGGGTGCCGCAGGAAGAAAGGGGAAAAAGAAAAGAGAAACACGGTGGTCTTACACGTACGTTCACAAAAGCATCCTTGCGGTCCCCAGTGTAGCACGGTATACACCCCCGCCTTATCACAAACGTCCCTCCCCCCATTATACACAATACCTAACAAGGCGTATGACGCATTGAGGATTTGACCTTTACTGCCCATGCGCAACACAAGGGGGACGTTTAGCATAGGAGGGATCTCTACCGCACGCTGCACTGACAGCTCTTGGCCCCATTCGCAAGGGGTTAAGACAGGCGGAGCCCAGCGAGATGGGTGGGGGTTATTGATACGCTCGGTTGGAAGTATCTGGGCCAAGCGCAGCTCTGCACCGCAGTGGTGTAAGCAAACGCACCCGATGCGATGTAACCCTGCCGTGTTACTTGCATAATATGTGCACTTCTCTCAAACTTTAGCCGGAGAGAGAGAGAGAGTAAGAGGGATAAAGAGGAGCAGGGACAGAGAGTGTGTGTGTGAGAGAGTGGGAAACAGAGAGGAAGTGAGGGGGAGAGCGCGCGCGCGCGAGAGAGAGAACGAGACAGAGAGGTGGGAGAGCAAGAGAGCGAGGTGGGAGAAAGCGAGAAAGCGAGAGAGAGAGAAAGAGAGAGAGAGAGAAAGAGAGAGAAAGAGAGAGAGAGAGAAAGCGAAAGAAAGCGAGAGACAGCGAGACAGAGAGAAGGAGAGAGCGTGAGAGAGAGAAAAAGAAAGAGAGTCAGAGAGCACGCGAGAGAGCGCGAGAGAGGGAAACAGAGAAACAGAGGGGGAAGAAAACAAGTCGCCAATAAAAAGAGTCGCAGCTCAGCGTGCGCAGACGCGGACGGCTCCCGCTGCTCGCACTGCAAGGCGACTCTTGCTGCCCGCCTGTCACCTTGCCTCCCTCCCCTCCACACCAAACACTAACTAACCCACGTCTGCCTGCCTCCACTGCCTGCCCACATAAGCTAGCCGCGGTGGCTGTACGCCAGGCTAAGCTGCTGCTGCACACGACGACAAAACCACCGCTGTAATTCTGTAACCCAGACATTCTGCTCTAAAACCTTTACGGCGCTCGCCGCCTAAACGCTTTCACGGGAAGAAATTCGGTTACGGATAAGTCCGTCTGCTGCATAGAATCTAGTAGCGGGGGCTGCTGTAGCCACGGTGGGGCAGCAGCCGTCACGAGCAGTGTGGTGGAGCGGGGCCGGGCGACTCTAGCGCTCGCAAACAATGCATCCGGCAAGCTTTGGCCTCGTAAAAGGCACCAATAAGTAGGGATTTGAAATTAGCAACTCTCGCCCGACTGCGAGCACCCGTCTGCCGAGCGGCGGCGATGACGACGACGACGACGACGACGATGGACGTTGACGATAGTTGGGCCGCGTCTCTGGATAACCTTTTCCCGCATCCCTGGATATTTCCTCTCCTCCATCTCTGGCTGCTTCCTGCTCCACCGCTGAACATTTCTTCTCTCTCTCCCCCTCTCGCTCTCTTGATGCTTCATTCCCCGTTTTGAATCCCCAGTACGCTCTCGGACCCGCCCCCACCATGCTGCATTACGATCGTTAGCGGCCGTGGTTAAGGCGGCGACATCTTTATACCCCCGTCACACCGGGGTGGCGTCCTTACTGCGCTGCTACGGCGACGGAAAATGGGCCCAGAGCGCGCCAAGGTCGCCATAAGCGTGGTATAAGCGTGGTGGAAACGCCAGACATCGTGGTGTGGTCGCCATGGTCGCCAATGATCGCCGAGTCACGGCGTTTGTTTTGAGCATGTTCAAAACAACCGCCAAGGTTCGGTGATCATACCTGGAACGCGGTGAGAACGC